AAAAAAACAAAATTGGAAAACCATCTGCAGAAAACTTAAGCAAGACTCACATCTCACACCATGCACAAATACCAACTCAAGGTAGATCAGGAATCTAGAAATAAAACCAAAGACTATTATTTCATCAGAGAAAAGCTAGGAAGAACTCTAGAAGCCCGGATTCATAGCAAGAACCATTTTCCAAGAGTAATGAAAAACCTCCAACCAGGAAAGAGTAAAATAGATGTATGGCCTTCTAGGAATCAAATCTTTATGTGCATCAAAAAACTTCTCCAAGGGGAGCTCTGGTGGCCTAGTGGCAAGGAGCTTCAACTACAATCCCAGAGGTGCACGGTTCAAATCCACCAGATGCTCTGCCGGGGAAGGAGGGACAGTCTCCTTCTGTACCAGTCAGATCTGATTTGACGGTACACTCACAGAAAAATAATAAAATAAAAATCTAAAAACAAAACAAAACAAAAAAAAACCAAACTTCTCCAACAGCCTGAGAAGGAAACCCATAGACTGGGAAACAATATTCGGCAATGACATACTTGATTAGAATCTAAAATTTATAGAATTAATCTAAAATTTATAGAATACTCCAGCACCTCAACAAGAAAAAGGTAAACAACCCAACTGCAAAATGGGCACAGGATATGAATAGACACTTCACCAAAAAAACAGACATTCGGATGGCAAACAAATACATGAAGAAATGTGCAAAATCCCTAGCCCTGAGAGAGATGCAAATTAAAACAACTATGAGATAATCTCTCAGCTGAGTGACAATAGCAAAGTTCACCAGGGTAGCAAACAACAAGTGCTGGCGAGGTTATGGAGAGATTGAGACTCTTAGTCCCAGCTGGTGGATAAAATGGTACAGACACTGTGGAAAGCCGTCTGGTGCTTTCTTAAAAAGTTGGAAATAGAAATACCATTTGACCCAGCAGTTCCACCCTTGGAAATATACCCTAATGAAACCAGAGCCACAACTTGAAATGATGTACACACACCCATGTTTATCGCTGCATTATTCACAATAGCAAAGCGATGGAAGTAACCCATCAACAAGCTAATGGATAGAAAAGCTATGGTACATTCACACAATGGAACATTATGCAGCATTGAAAAACAGTGAACTCATAAAACATTACATAACATGAGAGCCTGGAGGACATGCTGAGTGAAACATCTCAGTCACAAAAGGACAAACACTGCATAACACCACTGTTATAAAATAGGACAGAAATCGGGGAGTTGGGGGGAGAATGAGAAAAGAATGGATATGTTAAGAACACCGCATTAGAATAAATGAGGGGAAGAACTGTTTATAAGGAGTATATGATTATGCATTACATGTATGACAACAGTCTAGAACAAGAGATACATTGCAGGGTAGGTTGGGGAGGGGAAGGGGAGAGGAGGAAGAAAATAGGCAACAGTGAAAAAAAGAATAATTTTTTTTTTTAAAAAGAACACCAATATGTGGAATTCTTAGGACTCCAGTTCTGTGAAAGGCTTTTTTGTGTTCCTCACTTTATAATTAGGCAAATGCTTAAGTACAAAACTCAGGTAAGAGGTCAGAACCTGATGACAGTAAGATAGAGAGCTAAGCCCTTTGTGGGGGGTGTGTGAGAGGAGGGGTGTTACATTCTGGAGTTGGGAGGAAATTGTTTTTTCCCTTTGAGGGAGGGTGTGTCATTGGAAGGGCATGAATCTGATGTTCAGCAATGCCAAGGTAATGCCTTCTGACTTTGTTTTTCCCCCCTTTGACTGTGTATCTAGTGTGTGTCAGTTCCTGGAACTATGTCAGAGCCCAGAAGGTGGCTTTGGAGGGGGCCCTGGCCAGTACCCCCACCTTGCACCCACTTACGCAGCTGTCAATGCACTGTGCATCATTGGCACTGAGGAGGCCTATGGTGTCATTAACAGGTACAGCCCAAGCCAGCACTGACAAAACCCAAAGGACTTCTTTGTGCTGATTGGCACTGACCATTCTCCTCTCCTTCCTTCCCCCATTTGTTTCTCAGGGAGAAGCTGCTTCAGTATTTGTACTCACTGAAGCAACCCGATGGCTCTTTTCTCATGCACGTTGGAGGTGAGGTGGATGTGAGGTGAGTAAGGTTTTACTCGGGCTATTAATCAGTAGATTCTAGAGCTTCTCTGTCATTCAAGACGTCAGGCCTGAGGAACAACAGGGGTCAGAACTGGACCTTCGGAAACACTGCTACTTTATTCAGTGACATTTGTTATATTTGTATCATACATTTAATCTTTTGTCTACCAAGGACTGTTACATCATCGTCATAATCACTGGATGTTTGAGTCCATTGTTACAGCCACTGTGTCAGTCTGTCTCACCAAGGGTCTTTCCTCCTTTTACTGTCCCTTTACTTTACCAAGGGAACTCTGGTAGCCTAGTGGTAAGAAGCTGCACTACCATCCCAAAGGTACACAGTTCAACTCCACCAGCTGCTCTGTGGGAGAAGAATGGTTAATCTCCCCCTCTGCTGTTTACAGCCTCTAAAAACCCACTGGAGGGTCAGCTGTGGGTCTCTTCTGACTCAGAGGCATACAACAAATACAACTGCTTTACCAAACATCACTTTCTTCTCTAGGGACTCATTCATTCACTTACTCGTTGCTTATGTAAGAGCTAACTCATAGTTGACCCTTTGCTGGGTTTCCAAGGCTGCAAATCCCACAGGAGGAGATTGCCTGTCTTTCTTCCTCAGCTGCTGGTGGAGTTGAACTGCCAGAGAGGCACTCCCTTTGGATTAGCTGTGCATTTCCGCATGGACTTTCTAGGGACTAGGAAAGAAAAGAAAGCTGGGTAGGAACTCATGAGAATTGTTAACACTTGAGATCTTCCTGAAAGTTGTGAGAATAGCTTTGGGAGGTGCAGAAACCTTCTGGGGCCAGGAGAGAACAGTGCAATAAAGTGACATTAATGGATTGATACCAAGTGGCTCGAAATTATTTTACTTAAGAAGTGTTTGCTTTACCTAGCAAGTAGCTTACTTACCTGGCAGTTTACTTGTGAACCACATAAGGAGTTCACTAAATAAGTAATTTCTCAAAGGTGGCAGTTTGTTGAGTTTCATACCATTTCCTTATTTATTCTGGGAAATACATTATTTTGGTGAGGTTTCTAAATCAAAGCCATCTGATTGCCTATTTGTACATGCATTTGCTTCTGTATAAGTTGGTTAATAATCTGGTTTAAGTAAATAGAAAACCATTAGTTTGAAAGTATAAGCAAAAACAAAGTAGAGAAGGTATGAAATGTAAAATAGATTGTAGATGAAGGTAGGTAACGAGGCTGCAAAGGCCTTTAGAAAGAATTTTCTTCTACCTGTGAGATGTCTCTTCAAATAAAAAGAATTAAACTTTGCTACCGCATGTACCAGTGAAGCCAGCAGAGCTTAAAAACAGCCTCTCATTGTGATCAAGTCAGAAGCAACTCATAGCTGACCCTCCATTTGGTTTCTTAGGCTGTAAATGACATAGGATGAGGTTGTCCATTTTTCTCCTTCAGAGTCGCTGGTGTGTTTGAACCACCAGAGAAGTGCCCGACTTGGTTAGAAGCACAGCTCCCTGTGGACTGTGCTATCAGAGATCCCCTCTGGTAGATTTAAAGTAGTACTGTTTTGACTCTTCTTAAGGAAGAAGCGAAAAAAAATGTGTGCTACCCTGTGGTCATTACATTTTCATTCCTTTTCTATAATAATACTTGCCATTCAAGTTCTGGCCATGTTGAAGCTTCTTCTCTCACTCAGTCACTACTGTCAACTTGGTTTTGATTCATAATGACTTCTGTAAAAATAGGGTGGCATATGGACAGTCAATTTTGACCTCTGTAAACTTCACGAAGGAGAATAGTCCCTATCAGCTGTGACCACAATACAAACCAATTCCTTTAAGTTTAGACCTAACCTCCACACTCCCACACTTACTCTGCTAATTCCAACATCAGTCATACTGCTCTGGGTCGGAAATCCATTGCAATGGCCACTTGGATCTCGCAGAACCATACTTACTGTTACAGGGTTTATGAGGGGAATGAACAGGTTACAATTCTAGTTATTAACAGGTTACAATTCTAGTTAATAACAGGATACAATTCAGATTGGCAACATGGTACAATTCCTTAGTCAGGACAGCTTTTCAAGCATGTTCATAGACCTTTTGACCTTCAGCCTCATGCTTTTGGTCTGTGTTACAAAGTTCCCTTCTTCTTGTTGTTTGGTACCCTCAAGTTGATCCATTAGTGATGCTATGAACAACCAGTCTGAAACCTGTGCCTTCCTCATCCTATCTGACACACTTGAGCTCATTGCAGCAGTCACTGTGTCAGTCCACCTGGTTGAGGGTCTTTCCTGTCCTTCACCAACACTCTACCTTTCCAAGCATGGTGTCCTTCTCCAACGAATAGCCCAGGTTTTCTTAGTCCTTCTGATTATGGCATCTTCCCTCTGTTTTCCATCAATCTTGGGCTAAGGAAGGCCTCTGGCTCTGACCCTGTGGGGCAGCAGTTGCACGTCAGCTGTGTGTCCTGTGGACTCTGCTTCTCCATTGAGGCTACTCCTGCTCTCATTTTCCCTAGTCAGACTGATACAGAAATTTCTGGCCCCAAAGGATATGCATTACATTCTTTGCTGCTACTTCCTTGCTGGTAGTGAGAGTCCCACCTTTGCTACTAAATCTTTTAGATTTAAACCTGGTGGGATGGGAAAAACAGATCAAATCCCACATTGATTAATTTATACAGTATTTCAGGTTCTTCCCCAGTCACATGGTAAAAGTAAAAAACAGAAAGCTAAGAAAGTAATTTTAAACAATAAACCCACGCACCATAACCTCCATTGGGTTTTGAGGCTGTAAATTGCAACCAGACAAGACTGCCTATCTTTTTCCCATGGAGCTGCTTGTGGATTTGAACCGCCAGAAGCTTGTAGCCTTGTGGTTAGCAGCGCAACTCGATAAGGTCTACACCAGCAGAGCTCCTTATTGAAGTTTCATTTTTTTAAAAAAGCAGAAGTCTCTGTAAATTTTCATTAAAAATATTAAAGAGAAAAAAAGCGCAAAACACTGGGAAAAATGCCTTGGCATTTTGACACATGGGGTTTTTTTTCAGATGTGATTGTTTTCTTACTCATTCCAGCACCAGCTGTTGTGCTCCCCTCCCCACCTCCCTTCTTCCTTATCCCTGCTAAACAAGTGCTAACAAAAACTTTTCCAGGAAAATAGCTCTGCTCTGATGAAGAGCACAGTAGTCTTCTGACTCCGCCTAAGCTCTTCTGGTAACGCCCTCCCACTCTAGTCCCTAATTTGTACTTACATGAAGGATTAAACACGTGGAGGATGGAAAAACCTATCCAATCACATCCCGTTTCCTTGCTTTTGCCACCTCCATTTCTGTGTTTACTCCGCTGTTTAATTGCCATTGGCCTGGCAGTGCCTTCCTGTGCTCAGCAGTGTTTGTTGCCGAGTTGGATGTGATTGAGGACAATTTGGCATCTGGGTGCTGGCTTGCTCTCATTCTGAGTTAGACATAGGTGGTCCCTTGATGATGTTTCAGGTTCTGTCAGAACTCCTAGGAATTTTGGGCATGGGCTTACTCAAGAATTTATGACTCCAGAATACTTAATCTTAACAAACTGCAGTGAACTCCTAGTGAGCAACATATTTTCTTATTTCGTAGGAAAGAGTTAAATACTCTTTCCTGACTCCTACTTAAGAGAGCTTTGGTGGCTTATTGGGTAAAGAGTAGCGCTGCATAGCCAGAGACAAGCGGTTTGAATCCACTGGTTGCTCTACTAGAGAAAGATGGGCAAGGCTCTTCCGTGCAGTTTACAGCCTCTGAAAACCTGCTGGACAGTCAGCTGAGTCAGTTCTCACTTAACAGCAATGAACAACAACAGTTAAGGTTATCCAGGCTGGAGCATTTTTTGGAAGTGGCAGGGAGAGAGGGACTGAACATTGGGAAGAGTTTAGGTAAGCGAGTGACTGAGAAGTTCTTGTGGCTGGAGTGTAGAGGGTAGGGTGGGCAAGGTGAGAATTGAAGCTGGAGGGGCTGGCGGGCTGGGGACAGACTGTGAAGGTCTGGAACTCTTTTTAAGGAATCTGAAATTTCTTTTTAAGGGTAGTGAGAAACCACTGAAAAGTGTTAAGCAGGGAGTGGCATTGTTTGATTTGTATTTTCTCAGGAGTTCTCCAGTTGCAGTGAGTGAATTTTAGTGTTTTAGTAAAAATACTCTGGTTTCAAGGCTAGAGGGAGGGAGACCAGACTGGAAACTGATCCAGAGAGAAGATAACAGTAGCTTGGATGTGGCTGATGGAAGCGAAGAGGAAGAGAAATGGACACATTTTAGGAGACCTGGTGACTGGATGCAAGAAGCGAGGAATAAACTGAATGGAAGTGTTGTATTTTGTTCCTCTACTGTCTCAATATGAAATCTAGGACTAATGGCCTCTGGCATCTTTTCTCAGTTCTTCCGTTTATCAAAGGCAGATGACATTATTGGCTACCTCTCTGCCTCAGAGGATTCAAGAGCAAATACTTTTGGACCTCTGAGAGGCTCAAAACCTGAAGAAAATTAGATCAGACCTTCAAAGTGAGTTTATGGTAAATGCTAACATTTGGCGTTGGCACATACAACTCTTGCTTGCTCCGGATGCCTGCTGGTGTAACGGAGCCTCCGCTGTGCCTTTGGCCAGCATTTCAAGGCTGAGGGAAATGTTGGTAGGATTGTAGTGCTTAGAGTTTTTGCAGAGCTGTCTTGGGAATCCTCCAGTAAGTGTGGCTTAATGCTGGGTCTTTATTGAATAAGATGGAAACTAGACCTTTCTTTTTTCCTTCCCTTTATATTTCTTGGGGACCCTGAGAAAAAAGAATTTGTGAGCAGAATGAAAACTATTTTTATAATTCAACATAAAAGGGAGGTTGAGATGCTGAATATTTGAAGAGACCAGAGAGGGCAAGAAGGGGGAGTCTGGGGAGGTGTTCTATGACTGAGGAGGAAGCCGAAATAAACTGTGTCCTGAGAAGAATTAGGACTGGAGGATAGAATAGAATAGAATAGAATAGAATAGAATAGAATAGAATAGAATAGAATAGAATAGAATAGAATAGAATAGAATAGAATAGAATAGAATAGAATAGAATAGAATAATTATTCCAGATCAAGTTGGATATCATTTAAAAAGAATTAGACACGTTCTTTCTTTTTCCTCTAAAGGTATATGTTGGTGGGTGGAATGTATTATGTGCCGCCAAGTTGGAACCCACTTGTAGCTGACCTCCCAGTGAGATTTCAGAGGCTGTAGACTGCACAGGAGGAGATGGCCCATCTTTATGCCATGGGGAAACTAGTGGATTTGAACCCCTTGCCTTTGGGGTAGCAGCACAGCTCCTCCTTACCCAATCAGTGCTCTCCTCCCTCTAGGGATTTCATGAACGTGTCTGAGCGGCTCATCTTTCCCTATCCCTGTTGTTTGGTGAGCATCACAGCGTGCTGCCTGTGCCATGAGGGCGCCTTTCCTGGTGTTTGGTTTAAGCAGGTTGCTTTGGTATGTTCTCTGTTGTAGGGAAAATGTTAATACCTTTCATGTGTTCATGCCATAAACAGACTGAAATCCTGGATCTAAAATAGTATTGACATCTGAATGAAGGAGTATATCAGAAACACCTGAATGACACCATGGGCTTGTGGGATCCACTGTATGTCTTTGAAAGAGGAGTGAACTTCCCTTTTGACTTAAATTGATATGGCTGTTATTTCCTCTGACGGAAATGTGGCCCTGTTCTTTCACTGAAGCCATGCCCTGAGCATCTCCGTAGGAATAGTATGTCAGACCTCTCAGCTGGAGATGCAGGGGACTGACCGTGTGCCAAGAGTGGGGACAGGAGGTGTCTAAAGCTTGTTAGGCAAAGAGAGCAAACCACCCAGGAGTTCATTGAGCCTAAGTTTCTCCTTAAAACTTAACACTTTCAAGGGAGCTCTGGTGGCCTAGTGGCAAGAAGCTGCACTGCAATACCAGAGGTGCACGGTTCGAATCCACCAGATGCTCTTGCTGGAGAAGGAGGGGCAGTCTCCTGTACCAGTCAGATCTGGTTTGACGGTACACACACAAAATAATTAAAAAAATAAAATTAAAAAAAACCCAAACACTAAAAAACCTTAATACTTTCCCCTCTTTCTGATTGTATTCTGTCAGGAGTGCGTATTGTGCTGCTTCCGTGGCTTCTCTGACCAACATCATCACTCCAGACCTCTTTGAGGGGACTGCTGAATGGATAGCAAGGTGAGAGAGAAATTGGGATATTTCCTGGCCTTACAGAAGGAGTTTACTGCTGAAAAATAAAGATAATGAGATGTTATCTTTAGGCTTCTATGATTATATACTTTTAAAATATGTAAACATTTTTCTGTTTTCCAAACTTTAATACTGTATGATTATTTTTTTTTTAATTGAAAAATACAAAAAGCTTTGATGAACAGGGTCACTGGGTCTCCAAGATTGATTTAGTCAGTTTGAAGGGCAACTTGGTGATATCTCAAAGTTGCGCTCACTTGAGACCCAGTAATTTCACTCTTACAGGAACTTTATATATACGCATGATGGAGACAAGGGTAGAAATAATTTCTAATAGCAGAACACTAGAAATAGGTTACATGTCAATAAACATGATATTGGATAAGTACATTGTGATATAGTCATATAGAAAGATAAGCAGTTAAAATGAATGAACTAGAGCTACCTGTGTTAATAGAGATACATCCCAGAAGCATAATGTTAAGTGAAAAAAAGATGCTTCAGAAAACAGTACATTAGCTTGAAATCCAGAGGCTTGTAAAAACGTTTCTTGGTGGTGGGTAGAACCATATGTAGTGGTAATATATAAATATGTAGGGGAATTATAAATGCCAGATTCAGGGTAGTGGTTATTTTTAGGGAGGAAGCTTCTGACCCAATAATTCCACTCCTAGAGAACATCTTAACATGCATGAAGGAGACAAATGTAGAAATTCTTTATAATATTGTACATAACTAAGTCAAAGCTAGGCATTAGGTGTATATATATTTTACACATTATTTTCTGTACTTCCCTGGATGCCTCAAATACTGTACAAGAAATGCTCTAAAGCTATTAAAAAGATATAAAAAAGTATCCTATTTAAGAATTTTAAAATTGTAGTTCTTTTCTTCCCCCCCCCCCATTTTTGTTGTTTAGCAAAATAGTACTTTAATACTGTGTAATTTCTTTACAACTGCATTGGATTGTGTCCTTTGATCACATTTACTTTTTGGTGTTGCTTTTCTTTTCCTGGACTTAATGATTAACTTTTTTTTTTTAAATTTAGCATAAATTTTTAGTGTAAAATTTTTGGCCAGTACTAAAAAGTTATAATACGTCAGACATTTCAGGTAAACTGTCAGGTGCTCTGTGTGTGTGTGTGTGTGTG